GACAAAGGGCTAATATCCAGAACCTGCAAAGAACTCAAACAAATTTACAAGAAAAAAACAAACAACCCCATCAAAAAGTGGGCAAAGGATACGAACAGACATTTCTCAAAAGAAGACATTCATACAGCCAACAGACACATGAAAAAGATGCTCATCATCACTGGCCATCAGAGAAATGCACATCAAAACCACAATGAGATACCATCTCACACCAGTTAGAATGGCAATCATTAACAAGTCAGGAAACAACAGGTGCTGGAGAGGATGTGGAGAAATAGGAACACTTTTACACTGTTGGTGGGATTGTAAACTAGTTCAACCATTATGGAAAACAGTATGGCGATTCCTCAAGGATCTAGAACTAGAAGTACCACATGACCTAGCCATCCCATTACTGGGTATATACCCAAAGGATATAAATCATGCTGCTATAAAGACACATGCACACGTATGTTTATTGCGGCACTATTCACAATAGCAAAGACTTGGAATCAACCCAAATGTCCATCAGTGACAGACTGGATTAAGAAAATGTGGCACATATACACCATGGAATACTATGCAGCCATAAAAAAGGATGAGTTTGTGTCCTTTGTAGGGACATGGATGCAGCTGGAAACCATCATTCTCAGCAAACTATCGCAAGAACAGAAAACCAAATGCCGCATGTTCTCACTCATAGGTGGGAACTGAACGATGAGATCACTTGGACTCGGGAAGGGGAACATCACACACCGGGGCCTATCATGGGGAGCGGGGAGGAGGGAGGGATTACATTGGGAGTTATACTTGATGTAAATGACGAGTTGATGGGTGCAGCACACCAACATGGCACAAGTATACATACGTAACAAACCTGCACGTTATGCACATGTACCCTAGAACTTAAAGTATAATAAAAAAAAAAAAAAAGATTGTTCATGGTTATATTGGGGAAAGGACTTGGGGTAGAGTTGCTTCATTTTTCATTTTGTAACTTTCATTACTATTTGATTATGTGAATCATACATGTGTATTTTATGGGTTTGCTGAATACAAAATTTATGGGCTATTTATGAATCAATGTGCTCTATTAAAGTGATATTAGAGATTTTTCTCTTCATTACTTACATTGTAAAAGCCTAATTATTGGGTAAAATAAATAGGAAAAAAAAAAACAAACCCAGAAGAACGGTCACATGGCAGAGACTAGTGTCTAGGATTTTTTCAACATCTACAGGTTAATATTTTAGTTTTTAATGGTTACAGGCAGAATCCTTAGTATTTTTAACATAAGTAGATAAAGATCGATCTTCCTAAGCAATCTGAATTATTAACAGTGATAAACCCAATTTCTTCCCACTATATGCCAAAGGTTCAGCCTCAATTTTTATTTATTGTACTTAAACACTACAAGTTGTATTGAACTTTAATATACACTGGTGCTTAAGCTCCAATTTTTGATGCCTAATTCTCACAAAGTATACTTTGGATAATGAGTGAGCAGTGTTTGTCTTCCTGCACGTGGGGCTTTACTGCCAAAAGCAAACTTGCTAAATGGATTCATACACACAAGTGACAGGAAGACTGACAATCTGATGTACAGATCACTACCATTACCATGGGTCTTCACTTTCTAGTATACTTGGGAGAAAAGACACATTTGGCTTCCATGAAATACAAAGGCAAAAGGGCAACACAGTTCTGTATTTAAATAAGATGTATTAAAAATAATCACCTCGGGGCAAAGTGCTTTTAAAAGACATACACATAAATTACCTATCCTCTAACTGAACTTTCAGACAAGTCCTACATTAAATTCACCTACAAAGGTTATATTTTATCTGTGGCAGCAGATGCAGACACACAGTTACTTAAAAATAATAGAAACTGTGAGTTTATTCAAAGTTACCTAAGTTTTGATGGTTGTCAATTGATCATAGCAAAATAAGTCAGAAACATTTTTCCCCCAGTGAAGGCAGAGAAACATCTCATTTTAAATCAGTATCAGTGCTTTATATATTCTTCCCTTAAACAATGACATCCCAGAGGCTGAAGGCGTCTTTAACCCTGCAATGAGCCTTGCATTACAAGATTCCACTGTTTCCTTCTGGCATTTTGACTTTTAAAAACTAGCTACTGGGCTAACATAGGGTACACTTTTTTGGGTACTAATATTTGTAATTAAAAGACTCAGGGTCAATGTATGAGAGAACTCCATCTACGGTTCATCAACTATACGTAAATTATGATAACTTTAGAAAATTTTATGATAGTAGCATCAGTGATAGGGAATTTTAATAGTTTTAATTTCAAGACAACTGGGGGGCAGACTGGAAGAGAAAGTTAATTGACTACTACCATCAATAAATTGCTATTATCAATCTGTACTTTACCTCCAAGCTGACTTTTAAATGATAAACTTCCTTCTAAAAAGGTACGCTGGTCTCAGGCAGAACCGTAGCAAACAAAATACAGATAATTTACTCAGAGAAAGTTCATAGAACAAACTTTGATAATATTTCCAAACACACCAGAACCTTTGAACCAGTCTTCTCAAATCAGTCGCATATTCTCATAATATGCCCCTTTGCTAGAAATATTTTTAAGGCCTCACTTAAACTTCTCTTCAGATCCTATAGCATACTCTTTCAAATCCTTAACATAGACAAATCTAACGGCCTCAGGTACATGTGGTAACTGGGAAAAGAGAAACACAAAAACAGTGTGTATTATTAAATATTTACTTGGAAAAAGTACACATCAGCCACCAAGTCTTAAAACCATCTGCTTCCCTTACAGAGATTATTACTAGATGGTTGCTTTGCTTCAACCTCAAGAATTTTAATTTAGAAAACTCAGGCATAAGGTTGCTCTTGAGGGCAAATGAGAAATAGAAAGCTGAAGGTAGGAAAAAGGGTGGAGAGACGCAGATGAGGTTTTTTTTTTTTTGGCAAAGAACCAATGGGAGAGAAGACAGGTTAGTGGGGAAAGGGAAGAATGTGCTAAAATATGCTTAAGAGGGAAAGACAGAATTTCATAGGGATTATCCAAAACATTAAAAAAAAATCTCAATCACCTAATATATTCTGTGTTTCTAAGACTACAGCGGGACCACAAAGATTAACAATTTCTTAGATGTTAAAAAAGCTTTTAGAAAGGAGACCTGTCCCTCTTAGAATGCACATTCTCTGCAAACAAGGGTGATAAATGGTTAGATAGATCTGGGGGTGTCTTGAACACAAAGCATGGAAGGCTACAGTACCCAAATTTTGCTGATCAAACAGTATACTGTTTATTAAGCACACTAAAATATTTAAGGGCTTTCATAGCTATATAATCTTCCCCAATCCAGAAAGCCTTTCAAATTCCTGAAGATAATAAATTTATCACTTTGTAGAGGACAATTTTCTTTGATGTTCTATCATCTTGCAATGCTTGCAACAGTGTATTAGTAACAATTCAGTTTCTCCATGTTTACATGCTGGGAGTTAATAGCATGCTTTTTTGTAAATGGGGTAAGTAGAACAGAAAGTTGTATCTTACACTCTAGTACAAGCAAGTGCTACAGTAACAGTGCTTTGGTATGGCTGACCCAATTTGTTGCTAGGTTCAATATTTTGGCATTAAAACTGCTGTGGCAACAAGAGAGAGGACAAACTATGGTAAACGAGTTGCTTCAGTGAGTTTGTGGAGCTGCGACTTATAAAAACAGGAGAGGGTTGGGCATCTGAAAAACCGAAGAAAAGGGATTTCAGAGACCAAATCAGATCCTGCAGAAAACCACATACACTGATTTATCTGTACACCTTTTAAAGGACTGGCAAATGCTGCCAACAAGATAGCAAAAAATCAACTTCACGTCTGTTTTAAGAAAACGATGCAACTCAATATTTACTATACATTGCCTGAACTTCCTCCAACATCCTTATTTGCCTTTCTTTGGAGTCTGAACTTGTATTCCTGGTTTGGAGAATAAGGGAGTGGTAGGAAGAAGGAAAGCAATGTAGGAGACTGACGGTATGTATATTTTATACAATTTTGAAGCTAGAAAGGAAATCAGAGGTCAAAGTGGTTCAAACATTGGTTTTGGCTGAGGAAACCAGAGCTAGAGGATAATTAAGCTCCAAAGTTAAGTCCTAGAAGTGGGTGGGGTCAATGCTAATTTAGTAAATCTTTAAAAGCAACCTTTGTTCCCCCTTCTGGGAATACCAACACCGCTCAAGTTTTTCCGGCACAGAGAGGATTTCTAAACATCCTTAGAAGTCAGCGGGCATAATTGAAAGGGCACAGAACCAGGTTTACTGAGACAAGGGTCTAGCCCAACATTCTCTGTGCTTCTCGGCCAATCCATCTCCAACAGGACTCCTCGCCTCCCTGGGCTCTTTATTCCATCTAATTTTTCTTTTTTACAGTAGACAAAAGTGGTTTGTCCTTTCCATTTTAGGTTATTAAAGAGGTATGGTGCAATGTATTGGGAGAAAAAAAGGAAAAAAAAAGCTCTCATTTGCTCGAAGAAAGCAATCTGACCACAGAGGCCAAATCTACAGACATTCAATGATTTAAACTACAGGATAACCCAGTGACTACCAAACAGTATCTGACCCCTTTCTTCACGTATTATATTTTCCCTGAAGCTCAAATTCAGTGCTAGCCAGGACCAGTACACACCCCCAGAGCTATTTCATTCCATTGGCTGGCTGGCCACCCGCAGCCTACAACCTGTAGATTTATTGTCAGGACGCCGGGTGTTTATTTGTCAGAGATATTACATTGCTTGTGATTTTTTTTTTCGTGTTTTTCCTTTTTTTGGGTATAAAACAACCTGTCAGAATGGGAAAATCACTTAATTGAAACGATTAACGCGTGATTAGTAAATTCCTTTGGTTAATAAAACTGTCTAGATTTAAAACTTAGAAGCCAAGTCATTTTCTATGTTCCTATATCATCTGTCACTTTTAGGACAGGAGTGAACAAATATCAGAAAATAATTTGACAGTTTGCATTTAGGGGAGAGTCACAGAAGCCCAAGAATACCGACGAGGCATTATCACACGCGCAGGTCATTCCCTTTCCTAGAATTGTATTTCGGCAGGACCCGCCGTGTGTGACACAGACACGGGGACCAAAAGGAGACCGGTGCAGCATCTACTCTGCATGCAAGATCGACATGTACAGAGGCCCGGGATGACGGCGCGGGGGAAGGCGGAGGCCAACCGCATGATGGTTTTAAGGCGGCAAAATCACCATCCACAGAGCCGGCCACATCCGAGGCGGGGTGACCCGGGCGGGGACCCGGCC